GTCATTGAATTCTAGAAAGAGCTAGGTATTTCTAAATTGAGACTTGAGGGCACAGCACTCAAAACCTCGGACAAGAACAGCTCACGTCCTGGGCTGGGTGGTGGGTCTGCCCACACTCGTTGGCCAATGGGAAAGTCAGAGGTGGAGGAGGGAGGAAGGCAAGACGGGATTGCGTGGGGCTGAGACCGGCAGGAAGAGCTTGGCTTCCATGAAAGGCAGGCGACCCTTCCCAGCGCAGTGCCCCGGGGGCCGCCTGGGAGGCAGGTGGCTAATTCTGCTCCTGCAGACAGACATTCCAGTGAACAGGAAAACAGTTATGCGAGGAGGATTTTCCCTAAACATCTGTCACCAGCTCTGCTTTCACTGCCCTTCCTTCACTGAGCACCTTAGCGATGTCACCCCTGACAGCCGTGAGCAGCCCTGGCAGGGACTCTGTGGGCATCCGCGCCGAGGGGTATGTCTCAGCTTTTATTAGAGTCTTCACTCACAACAGCGCGACACCTTGCTGCCTGGCCGTGCCTCGCCCAGGTTGCAGGTGCTCGTGTGCGTGACTGGCACAGGCGCTGTCCCGGCAGGCAGACCCGAGTCTGCTGGGCCAGAGGCCGTGCTTTAAGTGTCGCTGTCCTCAGCCTTTAGGGCAGCGGCTGGGACTTCCCTTCTTTCTCCTTCTATTCACCCACCCCAGCCACTCCCCCTCCCAAGCCTGCTGTGCTTCGGAACATTCGATGTGGGAAACCAAGCCTCTGACGTTCTGAAATTCTTCATGGGAACCACTTGTGCCTCTTGCCTGAAATAAAGCCTGACGTGCCCTCGAACACACGGGGCCCTGAGTGCACGGCCCTTCCCAGGGCAGTTGGCTGACTCTTCCCGCCCCACAGAGCCGAGGGCTAAGATTCAATCCAGCAGCCTGCTCCTCTTCTGTGCGAGGCTTAGACCTTTGGCCCTTCACCCTCAGGCAGAAGCTCTGGCTCCTTCCCGCCCGCACCTCTCGGGGGGCCGCCAGCACTGCGTGTCTGTGCTCACCCGCCGGTCTGGGTTTTACTCGCTTTTAGAAACGGCGCCGGACACCGTTGCCCACACATGGTCCTCCTCCCTCTGGGCTCCCTCACTTCCGACACAGCAGCACAAGCCGCACCGCCCTCTCCACCGGCTGCGCGTCACGCCTGGGCTTCCTCCGCCCAGGCCTGCGGTGGCTGTGTGTCTCAGTGGGGTGACCAACCGCGGAGCAGGCTGCGCAGGTTCCCCTGGGGAGGCACTTGCTGCTGTAGCTGCTGGCGGTTCAGAACGGGGCAGGGGGTGGCTTTCAGCTCAGTGTGCTGTGGCCTCGGCGGCAGAGGGGCCTCGTGTAAGGGCCACCGCCTTCCCAGGACACTCGCATCCAGTGACCGACGGATGAAAGCCGGGGTTAAAGGCCTCGTAACTTCAGGCGAATGTCGGCCAACCCGGGCAGGCGGTTCCACCCCGACAGACCCCCTTGGGCGCATCAGAACACCTCGTTCCCTTTGCTTAACGCTGCTCCCCTCACACCTGCCGCCGCAGGCGTGCCGCCCAGGTGCGGCTCTCAGCGACGTCCCGAGCACAAGGCCGTCTCAAAGCCACGCTGGGACAACCCGGAGCCAGCACGCAGGGCCCCACGCTCCACTTCCCCTTTCACTGTGTGACGGCCACACCCGGTGCCTGCAGGACGCCCACCTGCCTCCTGCCTGGAGCTCTGCTGTGAGCTCCGGATGTGAACACTCAAGCTCGGCCTTGACGTTGTCACTTGGAGGGCCGTAAACCTCTTGGACTCCGAGCCACCAAGACCGAACTCTTCCTAACCCGCCTCCCCAAGTCCGCCATTGCCTGAGCTGATCCACACGCTCTGAGAGAAGCTGCGTGCTGAGGCGTCCTGGCTGGGGCTGTGGGGGTGGGAGTGCGGGGTGGGGGGCAGCGTGTACCAACAAGGAAGCCTGCTCTCTCACTGGGCCTCTGGTCCCCCTTGTCGCCACCACCCAGTACACAGCGTAGGAGCAGCGTGTAAGCTGCCCTGGTGCTGAAGGAGAGAGATTTGCAGTTCACGCTGAGTGCTATGGGGTTGGGGGGGCTACTCATTGCCGTTCTCACGTTCACGAAATGTAAGTATCGTCGTTTGGACATGAGCCCATACGGGTAGATTCCCAGTAGAAAAATTAAGGACAAGGACTTAGTGTTTCTAACAGGAAATGATTTCTCCTTTCTTTGAATCTCATGATAATTTTCTTTGACGCCCTGGGTCTCTCTCTCTGGAGGACAGGGGTGATGATGACCTTCATGTCTGGATCTGCCGGCGGTAACTCGCTGCCCCCCGAGCAGGTGATTTGCAGCGTGCGCTTGTGGGTGATGTTAGGGTCTCCTCTCTGGCTGTCCCCCAGGAATTGTTCTCTCACCACCACTCACAACGGTAGCGAGTTGTGCCCCACCCTCTGTGCCGCAGCTCGTTTCCAGAACAGCCGGGGGAGGGGCTGCCCAGATCTGCAGCCACGCGAGGGTCCTTTCTCCTGGGAACTCTCCTGTCCTCGCGGCCCTGAGGAGGATCCTGTGTCCTCTCCCGGCTCGGAGTGGCTGTCTCTCTCATGACGGCCCCGGGCCAGCCAACCACAGTGAATGTCCACACCACTCTCTGCTCTGGCTGGGTGCCCACTGATGACAAGTCTTACATTTTTAGTGTCCTTAAGGTTGTGTTATGGGCTCAGATGATTATAATTTTTAACTTCTGGTAGCTAAGGAAGTACAGATAGACAAAATGCCATTTATTTAAACTTCACCGCTCTCAGCCACTTGCTATCTTGAAGGACTCGAATTAATCTTTCATCAGCATTGTGCTTAAAGGCAAAGTCCTATTGCTTTTATGTGGGCGGTCTGCATTTATAAGCTGTGACAAGCTGGTTGGTGCCAGGCAGCCAACAGTGATGAACAATCTTGGCAGATTAAAATGTAAATTTGATTGAAGAAAACAACCCACCAAAATATATGCTTCTGCATAATCTGTGATTAAATGTTACTTGTTGCAGAGCTAATGTGTCTGACATGTTCAATTACAGCTTTTGGAAGTTTCACTCCACATCACTTAGTCTATTTTAAATACTTCTCCCTTAGGCTTCGTACACAGTGATGTGTGTTTTGCACTAATGGCCAGTGCAGATTTGGAAATAATCTCTGTCCAGTCTATGACAAGATTTATTTTCTATGGAGATAACAGGGCTTAAAAGTTAATCCTACAATCCTCTTTCTTATAACTATGAAAACAGTCTCTGTATACCTAATTGCTATCATCATTTTTTTAAAAAAAATGGTAGGTGATTAAAAAACATAGCATAAAATTTAGTACTTTTACCTCTTTTAAGTGTATATAGCTCATTAGTGCTCAGCCTATTCACACTGTTGGGCAATACATCTCTAGAAGTTTTTCATTTTACAAAACTGAATAGCGATTGGACAGCGGCTGCCCACGCCCCTCCCCCAGCCCCTCCCCCAGCCCTTGACCCTCTACTTTCTGTTGCTTTTGGATACCTCCCACAAGTGGAATTATACAGTATTTGCCTTTTTGCGATTGACTTATTTTGCTTAGCCTAATCGCCTCGAGATTTACGAGAAAGGATTTGAGCATCAGACAAGTTTTTAAAGACAGAATAATTTTCAATTATTTTTATATATAAATATATGTACAATTCTTTCTCTGTCAATGGACACTTCCCTATTGTCTATTATGAATAATACTGCAATAAACATCGGTGTGCAAATATCTCTTCAAGATTCTGTGTTCGATTCGTTTGGATATATGCCACAAAGCGAGATTGTTGGGTCATTCTATTTTTAATTTTTTGCGGAACCTCCATTTCTTTTCCCATAGAAGCTGTACCATTTCATATTTCCACTCAGCTATTGTCCTTTTTATGACAGGTTCTATCGATTAAATATTGGCTGATGCTCGTAATTATTAAATAATAATATGCCAATACGATAGGATTATTAGGCTGTAAAATGACTGCACTTTCAATATTTTGCCTTTGTTAGAAACAGTAAATTTAATCAAGCGCCGTTTTGCCACAACCTAAGTTTCTGTTTGGTTTGTCCTGGTTCATGGCTTCGAGGGTCAGAGCGCCGCTGTCCCAAACACTGATCTAAATGAGACCTCCATTTCGCCCAAAGAAAATGGTAGGCCGAGGAAAATAAAGGAGAGTGCCGTTTCCGAGGGGTTCCCGCAGTTCAGGAAACCAGACGGGAGCTTCTCGGGCTGAGGGTGACTGACGGCGCCCCACTGAGTTAGCCCGGCCACCTCGGGGCCGGCCTGGCGACGCCCTACCCCGGGTGCGGCATCGCGCCCCGGCAGAGCGCTTCCCTTCTCACTCCGCATCCTTTTCGGGCCAGTGCTCTGAGTCACGCTGCAGTCTACCCGGCTTCGCCTGGTGCAGAACACTGCCCAGAACCTCATTGAAATTCATGCCTTGGGTGTGCGTGTGTGTTGTCATCTATACGGGAACTATTATTATGGGTTTCCAGAAGATTTCAAATAATTTCAAGTGCATAAACGCACTATATCCCAATTGATCTGTAATGCAATTACTGCCCAAATCCAGCAAGGTGTTTGCCTTGACCAGGTGTCTGTCAAGTGAGAAAAGCCCCAAACCCGGTGTATCCCAGTGTCAAGAACAGAGGAGCCGGACAAGGTCAGCATTTTGCAAGTTTCTGCCGCACGCAGAAATGAAAGAATGAACAAAGGAGGTGAATCAAGGAGAGTGGCTCCTCTGAGGTCCCCAGAGCTCGCGCGCCTAGGGTGTCGGAGTCAAATTTCAAATTCGGCCAACAGTTCCTGGACTGTCACCCGCAGTGAGGACAAAGGAAAACGGATTGAGTGAAACAATGGACAGCCAGCACCACGTGGCCCCGAAGCCGCGTGGCTAAGTCTGTCTCCACTAGGCTTCCGTAGTCGGTTATGCGCCGCGGCCGACGGTGACGTCACGAGGCTGTGATCTCGCGGGAAAAAGGGCCCCGGCGTCTGGGTGCAGGGAGGGCGCGCGCGGGACTTTCAAGCCGCGGACCGGGATCGCCAGCTGCTATGAGCCTCTGGGCGGACAAATACCGGCCCTGCTCGCTGTCCCGGCTGGACTATCACAAGGAGCAGGCGGCCCAGCTGCGCAACCTGGTGAGTGAGCGGGACGGGGCTCGTGGGGCTCGGGGACCGTGGGGCTCCGGGGCGGGGCTCGGGGGTCCGGGAGTGGCCCCGCACGGGCGTCCCGCGCCCCGGGAGCCTGCGTTCCCGGCCGTCCCCCGAGGCGATCAGGGCTGGGGTGGGGGGCGCAATGGAACTGGGGCTAGGACGGCGTGGAGGCGAGGACTGTGTTTGTAAACAACAGGGCCGGGCCGGGGGTTGTCGTCTGAGCCGCGGCACGTCCCACGGGCAGTGAGCAAGCCCTGGATGCAGACACCCGGGCCGGGGGCGAGTGGAGCAGGGAGAGGGGACCCCAGGTACGAAGTCGCCGGGGCAGCTGTGTGCGCCGCTCGTCTGCGACCCGCCCGAGGCCGGTGCAGCCGGTAACCGGGGGCTGCGGGGACGGGGCGTGCGGCGGGGTGCGGAGCCCCAACCTCCGGCCGAGCGGGAGGGGAGCCCTTGGAGGCTTCGGAGCAGAGAAGGGACCTCACTCCCCTGACGTTTCAAATTTCCCGGTTTCGTCGTCCCCACTTACAGATAGGAAGGTATTGGGTGTATTCGTTCCTGAGGTCATTCCTAATTCGACAATAAAAGAGGATGTATCAGGTTTTCCTTGAGTGTAATTCCTTATGGAAAGTTCCCCCACCCTCCATCCTGAAGTGGCTAATGGAAACATTTAAAGCATAAATTCAGTTTTGGTTAGCTGGAAGGTCAAAAACAAAGGCAGCCAGTATCTGAGGGGCCTGTACTGTTTTCCATGCCCTATGTTAGGTGAACAGTTCCTTTCCTCGAGACCGTTAAAATCTACTGCACTAAGCATTTCTGTTAAGATACCCACGCCACTTTTTTCTGTACTGGTCACTTACCAAACTTCTGCTCCAGAAGACTTCATGTACGTGCACCCGAGGTCCACACCTGCTCCCTTCCTGTTGCGGATTCCTAAACCCCACTGGCCATCATCAAAGCCACCTGGGCAGCTTTGCAAACACACCTTTGTCTTTCCAGACTCCTGCCAGCACACAGGCTGACTCCACCCCTGGGTTTGCACTTCCAGAAGCTGCCCCTTGCTGAAACCCCTAAGCACCTGAAAGGCCTGGGGATTCATGTCCTTCCCCCCCTCCGCCCCCCACTCCCCAGCAGGTTGCAGCGAGGATTGAGGAGAGACAGCACGTGAGACTCCCGCTTAGGCACCCTTGGTGGACGGAGGGGTGTTCAGCGCTGTGGTGTGTTTGACACTGGTCCCGGAGTCCCCCAGCAGGGGCCAGCCCCTGGTGCCCAGAATGGGGTTTATGTCCATGATACACTCTGCCTTCCTTTGCTTCCCCACAGAATTTTTCTTTCCCCGGTAAACCAGACGCACTCAGTTCTTACCAAAGGGACTGTTTGTGGAGGCCCAAACTACGGCAGGCATTGATCTCAGTTACTGAGTCCTACTGGGTGGAACGGGCCCAGTACTCAGTCTTCCACTTTGCAAAGGCTTCTGGGAGACCCGGGCAGTCGGGGGGTTCGGGAGCCCTTACTTTCCAGCGCGTCGTGGTGCAGCAGGCAGGCACTACGCTATGTCACTACGGTGTGTCACTACGTAAAGTTAATGCCAGGGAATAACCTTTTCAGCGCTCCAGAAGTAATTTTAAAGAACCACTATGTGTACACTCATCCACACATAGGCACTTGAAGTTTCGTAAGCGGGGACTCGAAATATTGGTACTTACGAAGTTTAGTTCTACCGTGTAAGTAGGAAAACGCCTCGTGTCTTTTTCTCCAGGTGCAATGCGGGGACTTCCCTCACCTGTTAGTGTACGGACCGTCAGGCGCCGGAAAGAAGACGAGGATCATGTGCCTCCTCCGCGAACTGTACGGCGTGGGGGTGGAGAAGCTGAGGATCGAGCACCAGACCATCACGGTGAGCGTCTCGCCCGGAGACCCTCCGGCCGTCGGGCTGGCCAAAGAGTTTGTCTGGGTTTAAGTGAAAATACAATAAAAACACATTTTTTATTTTCACCAACACCTTTATTGAACAACATATTCGCCTTTTTGTTCCAGTACCTTCTGCCATCTTTTGGGCAACTTCATACTCCCACTTTCCCAAAACTTTATCTTTTTGAGCAAGAAACTGTTCCAAGTGCCTTTGCAGTCCTCCAGGGAATTGAAATCTTTTCCATTAACAGAATTTTGTAAAGACCGAAATAAATGGAAATCTGAGGGTGCAGTGTCTGGCGAGCACGGCGGATGAATCGGAACTTCCCAGCCACGCTGTGACGGTGGTTGTCGCGTCATCAGAGAATCACGCCGCCTTGCCGTATCCTGGTGGGAGATTCTGCGTTTTCTGTTGACTAATTCCAGACGCTTTTCACCAAGAACTGCTTTCATCTGGTCTGACCGGGCGCAGCACTGGCTGGAACGACTGGTTCAGCTTTCCGGAAGGAGCTCGCGGTAGAGCGGTCCCCTCCCGCCCTCCGCCCGTCTGCACGGGGACCGGCCTTTGGGGCGGTGGGCGGTGGCTCCTTTCGCTGACCCGCGGGCTCTTCCGTTCCACAGTGTTGCAGAGTGTCCACTTTTCATCGCCTGCGGTAGTTCGTTTTAAAAATGGAATGTGTTTGTTACATTTAAGTAGAGAATCGCATGTGGAAATGTCGTCAAGAAGGTTTTTTCCACCTAACTTATGCGGAACCCAAACCGGAAAGCAGTTAACACAACCAAACTGGTGCAGACGACTTCCAGCGCTGGAGCTGGATATTTGGAGCACATCGCGGCCGTCTCCCACGTGGTAGAACGTAGACTGTCCTCAGTTACTGTCTCGATTTGATCGCTGTCGCCTTCAGCTGGTCTGCCCAACAGCATGGAACTTACTTCACAAACCACTTGGGACACGTTCGGTCAGTCACAGCACCTCCTCCACACACGGCAACAAGTCTTTTTCTGGCATTTCAATTGCATTTTTATCTTTCTTGAAATAATAAAGCATACTATGCCGAAAATGTTGCTTATTCCATCTTCAATATTAAAATGGCTGCACAGAAATTGCCCAATTTTGATAATTTTTTAAATGCACACTGATAGGACAGCTGTCACAATACAATCTAACAACATTGTTGCGAATGACGTTAAAGACAACTAAGTGCTACTAGAGCCATCTTATGGAAAAAACACAACGGACTTTTTGGCCACCCCAGGATTTGCTGTGGCAGATACTCACTGTATACTGACCAGATGGCAGGAAGTGAAGGCGCGGTAGTAACACCTGCTGCAGGTGGGGGTGCTGGGGAGGGGCAGTCATTGCCAGGGGAGCAGTGAACTGAACTTTTGTTTGGAAGGGAGGCTGGTTATATACACACATAAAGGTTAGAAAATGCATCCCCTTCAGTCCAGCAAATTCTTCACAGGAATCTGTTGCACAGAAATGCAAGTGCACGAGACATGTGCAAGGGTGTTAAGTGTGGAATTGTTCGAGAGGCAGAAGGCAAGATACAAGACGCCATCCGTGTGGCTGGTTAAAGTGCGCCTGTGACACCCGCCTGTGACGCCCATCGCGGTCATCTGAGAGGGGTTGCCCAGGTGTGCAGTGGGACAGCAAAACAAGTGTGCCTGCCTCTCCCTTTTCTCAAGAGACGTGTGTGAACATATAGAAGTGCACACGTGTTCATTTTGTGTGTTACGGAAACGGCTGTGGAAGGACATAGACCAGTTGTGTGTAGGGGCTGTGTGCTGATGCCTGGAAGTGGTTCGGCGCCTTCCGGAGGTGGGGGGAGCGTGACCCCAGTAAAGGCAGGACACATATGAAATTTGAATGAAAGCACGTTTATCCGCCCAGTAATACAAACAATGGGTTAATGAAGTTAAGACATTAGTGGTGATCCTCCAAAGTTTTATTTCAGTGAGCATAAATTGTTTATTTAAAAAAATCAGTGAAATGCAGAAAAGAGGACAAATAGGTAATAATTAGTTGTTAAAAACATCTATTTTTTTTGTCCACAGACTCCATCTAAAAAGAAAATTGAAATTAGCACTATTGCAAGCAATTACCACCTCGAAGTTAATCCCAGGTGAGCTGCTACTCTATAGAAATAAGCATTTTTAGAATAGTGGTGTTCAGGCTTTCTTTTTAAAGAGCAGGACTCTTTCTTGAAGAGAACTCGTGTATGAAAACCCGGTGCATAAAACAGATAAAAGGGAAGCTGCCTGGGTGAAATCGCCTAGAACCTTCCGCTGTGCCTTCTCTGTGAGACCCCTCATGAAAATAGTTTTGGGAATGAAGTTTCCTTGCTCTGCAGAGCTGAAGTGCCTCACATGGTTTTGGAGATCGTATCGACTCATTGGGAACTGGGGAGCACAATGCGTCTAAAAAGTCCGCAGTGTCTGGAGTGAGCACGCACTCCGCAGAGTGGCCCTGGGCAGCCGCGCTGTGGCCAGCCCTTCGGCTCCGTTTCTGGACGGGAGGGTGTTGCCGCGACCCCGCTAGTGTTTGCGTCTCTGCCGTGACGCGGTGAGCCCAGGGTCTCGCTGGGGGTCGGCACATGGGGCACGCGTGTGCCGCGGGGAGGTGCTGCCGGGGTGGATGGCGCGGACGCAGCTGCGGTGGCGGCAGAGGCTTCGGGCCCCAGGAAGGCGTTGGCGAAGGGGAACGGCTGGGGTCGGGGTCGGGGTCCGACAGAAGCACCCCCGCTGCCGGACTGCGGACGGGGGCGATGGCAGCGCGAGCCCATCTGCACCGAGTGTAAGGCCCGCTGAGAAAGGCTTTGTGTGGGGCGTTACGGCGGGTCCTCACTGCTCTCTTCCACCGTTAACGTCCACGAAAGGGAAGAGGAGCGACGCTGGTGGGAGGGGTCTGATCGTGGAGGCAGAGAAGTGTCACCTCCACAGGGAAAGGGAGATGCTTCGGGTTCTTGGCGAGCAGACGATCGTGAGCAGACGCTCGGGGTTCACCGATGTGGTAACAGTGAGTGGGGGGAGCCGTGGCCCCCCGGGGAGTGAAGCCCACGGCCGTGCCCTCTTCTCCCCGGAGGCCTCTGCAGCCAGGGCGGCGCGCAGCCCGGGAGCCCACTGGTCTTCGGTGTTCGGGATTGGCGTTCGGCCTGAGTTAACCGGGGGTGCGTGTCGGGTGGGGAGGCAGCGGCCTCAGTGCTACAGCAGCGCGGGGGTGTGAATGACGGGCGATGCCTGTCGTGCGTGTGCGGCTGCCGGAGTTCCGACAGGTGTCCCGAACCCCCTTCCCTGCGCAGTGAGCGCAGCGCCATGCCGTGCGGGGGACTGGGTGGGGGGGCTGGCCTGGGTGCACCCGCGCTCTCAGATCTCTGCGGTCTGGGGGCGGGGCAGGGAGTGGGGGCCAACTTGGTCTCAAAGAGTTATTTTTATATTTTGAGTAATTACAGGTAATTAAGAAATTAGTTGTAACTGACTAGTAACTATAATGTGTACAGAAGAAGTATTAAAGTAATTGACAAATGCTTAATTATTAGTTGTCTGCCCTTTTCTAAGTAACAGTAAACTTAAAAGAACATATTTAATGTTTTTAGTTATGTTAATTAGCTGTAATTGAATATCGGAATATTGTTGGTATTTTTAACAACCCTAAGATATCTCAGTGTTAAAGTTTTGTGAATGTAATTAGCTGTTACTAATTTTGACTATAATTGTAACTACTTAAGATCTTCAACATTTTTCTTATAACAGCATTAAGAATAAGGGCGTAACACTTGGAAGTCATTTACATGTGTGTATATGTCCACATTAAGTGCACATTTTTTTAACCACGACTCCTGTGTCCGCAGCGACGCTGGGAACAGTGACCGGGTGGTCGTCCAGGAGATGCTGAAGACGGTGGCCCAGTCCCAGCAGCTGGAGACAAGCTCCCAGAGGGACTTCAAAGGTAGGTGACGGACAGACGTCTGCTCATGAGCAGATGCTCCAGTTGTGAGGAGGAAGTGGGTGGGGGCTGGTGCGTGTCGCCCCTGTGCTCCCCTTCTGTCCTGCGCCGTGCAGCAGCCCCTCTGGGGCGGGGAACCCGAGAGCGAGGAAGAGAATTGTTGATTTCCAGGCTCACGGGAGTGTTTGTAGATGGTCAGTGGGGTTGAATTTTGGTGGAAAGAGGCCTATTTATGCTACTCGTTTGCTATTTTAGAACTAGATGAATAATGAAAAGTGCTTTATTTAAAATAAGAGATTAAATGATTTGGAAATAACTGTTCTTAGGACCACAGTTACGTGTTTGTTATCGAATATTTAAAAGGAAAGTTGAAGCCAGCTACACCCCCACCCTGGGGGTGCTACAGGCACTGTGGCACGTTTGTCGTTTCTGTGCACACGCGTGCGCACGCTCTCACGGAAGACCTGCCGGTCCATGTGCCCACACTCAGTGCCGGTGCCGTGTGTGCGGGGTTCTCCGGCTGCGGTGGGGTGTGAGCACGCACCACCCCCCACCCCCGGGGCGACGGGCGTGCGTTCCTTCCGGCGCTGGGCAGCACCCTGGGGAGTCCTTTGTGGTCTTGGTCTGGGGTGTGAAGAAGTTAGGTGGCGGCTGGTTTCGTGAATGTTGATTTGTGTCTTTTGCTCATTTCTCCTTTTACGTTTTTGTGAATTGCCTGTGTACATTCCGGTCTATTTCTTGTTTCTCCTACTCAGTCTGCATTTCAAAATAATTTGTGTTTACTTTCTTGTTTTTGCTACTATAAATGGCATTTTCTTATATTTGCTTTTTTATTTACATACATGACAACTATTTCTGTTCACGTCTCAGCTCTGTGTACCTCTGTGTTGTTGAGTTCTCTCACTGTTCGCAGTGTTTGGGTGTTCCAGACGCGTGTTCCCATCTGTGAATACACGCGGCGTTCCCCCTCTCACTCGTGTGGCTCTCACGCTCTCCCCGTCCGCCAGCTCCGCAGCCCCTCCGGCAGGAGCAGAGGCTGGGCGAGCCTGTCGGCGCTGGAAAGGGCCCTGGGTTTCCGCGTGGAGACGGGCGCCGGGTGCTGGCCCGAGGTCCCTCTGTCTGTCTGATCAAGGGGAAACACGCCCGTCGCCTTCTCCTTTATGGGGCGCTTCTGACACGAGTGTGCGCCGCGGTTCTCAGATGCTGCTTTTGCGTCCACGAGAGTGTGTGTGTGTGTGTGAGTGTGTGTGTGTGGTTTTCTTCTCGGTTCTGTGAATGTTGATAGCTGGGTTTCGCTGTGTGGCGTTTCTGGAGGAGACCGCTCGGTTGCGTGTTGACTTCTAAGTCCGCTGCTGCCTCCCGGCTGCGGACCCGGTTTGCGCCTTTGGTGCCGTTTGGGTGGCATCTCAGGATCAGCCTCCCGGTCTCTGTGTCTCCGCTGTGTTCCGTTGGGACTCCGTTTCCAGACTTTCTCCTCACCGTGAACGCGGGCTTGGGGGCGCCTCCCGCTGTGTTTTCCGTCTGCTGCTCTGCCGCACGCGCTGCCTCGGGGGTCCTTGCTCTCAGCCATGGAGCGGGGTCCCTGTGGACGCCGGTCTCAGGCTGGCCCTCGGTGCTCCCAGGTGCTCTGGAGGGCGATGCGGGCCCCGCCCTGGGGGTCCCGGCCACCTTTGCGCTCGCTCGTGTTCGCGGTTCTCGGACAGAACTTGTGGTCGCTGAGGTTTGGTGTGCACGTGGTCGTGGGTCTGGTTTCGGCATCCCCGGCGCGTCGGTCTGGGTGGAACGGCTCCGGCGCCACAGCGCCCCCACCGCCGTCTTCGGGAAATGCAGCGGTGCCCGGGTACTCGTCATCGGTCCCCTGGGACGAGTGGCCCGCGAGCCACGAGTGAGGAAGCGTTTTCTCTTGCCGGGTGGCGTCGAGACTCACCCAAGTTTTAGCGAGTGTGACAGGCGGGCGAGCAAGCGCCAAGTGCTGGGAGGTGTTTTCTCGTCGAAACTTGACGAGCGCCGGGCGTGCGAGTTCCGAGGCCCAGGGCCGAGGTGCCCGAGTGACCCGGTGTGATGACACCTGCCGCCGGGCCCCCCTGCACCCGCAGATTGTTCCCCACACGCTCCGGGCCGTTCTCGGCTCCAGCGGGGGCGCCTGCCGCGCGAGCCACCAGACGCCTCCGTGCCTTGGGGCTACACACACTCCGTGCTGGTGTTTGCCAGAGGCGCTCCTGAGGCCGCCGAGGTGTACAGGTTCCGCAGTCATGCCCTGCGACATGGAGTGTTCCGGGGAACTGCAGCGCCATGCCTCCTGGGTGGGTTATTTTTTAGCGCATAAAAATAATGAAGAGGGCCTGGCTGGCGTAGCTCAGTGGATTGAGCGCAGGCTGTGAACCAAAACATCTCAGGTTCGATTCCCAGTCAGGGCACATGCCTGGGTTGCAGGCCACGGCCCCCAGCAACCGCACATTGACGTTTCTCTCTCTCTATCGCCCTCCCTTCCCTCTCTAAAAATAGATAAATAAAATCTTAAAAAAATAATGAAGAGGCTGCAGTGAATGCCTTAGCAGGTAGCCGCTTTAACCTCATTTAGCCTAGCGTTGCTTAGGCTTCTTACAGAATTTTTAAAACAAACATAAAATAAATTACTTTCACTATACCTATAACTTTTACATGTCTTTGCCAAAGGCAAGAGTAGCATAAAAAGGTAATTGTTTAGGATTTCACGCTGAATAACGAGGAGGAAGAAGGAGACAGATACTCAACGTTCGCCTTGTTTCCCCCGCTCTCAGTGGTCCTGCTGACGGAGGTGGACAAGCTCACCAAGGACGCGCAGCACGCCTTGCGCAGGACCATGGAGAAGTACATGGCCACCTGCCGGCTGATCCTGTGCTGCAACTCCACGTCCAAGGTGATCCCGCCCATCCGCAGCCGGTGCCTGGCCGTGCGCGTGCCCGCGCCCAGCGTCGAGGACGTAAGTCCGGCCACGCGCCTGTGCTCGTGAGAACCCGGCGCGGCGTCTCAGTGATGGGGACATCTCTGTCCTGGGTGCTGACCGCCGGTAGATGCTGCACTGACCAGTGTGTACGAGGCCTGTCCAGAAAGTGCTGTGCGCTGTGCAAAGCACACTTATTGAAGAGGAGACAAGACACAAGAAACAGTGCACACAGGACAGTGACACCTCAGTCCCCTTCAAAGTAGGCACCTTGGGACCTCTCACAGTTCTCCCAGTCGCCATCAGCAGCCCTGTTTTATTTTCCTGAATCTCATCGATGGTCTGAAATCTCTTTCCTTTCAAAGGTGATTTTAGTTTGGGGGAAAAGCCAGGAGTCACAGGGCACCAAATCTCGGCTGCATAGAGGGCTGAGTCACCTGGGTGATTTGATGTTTCGCCAAAAACTCCGCATGAGACGTGATTCATGAGTGGGCACATTGTTGTGATAAAGCTGCCAGTCACCAGCTGCCCATGGCTGTGGCCTTCTGAATCATCTGAGTACTTTCCATGGAGGAATGTTGCAGCTTAACACCAAAGTTGATGCAGGTTCATTGCTCTACTCACTCAGTCGTTGTGAATGCAGTGGCCACACAGCACACACGCTCACCCAAAGGCATCTACCGCCCCCACTGACCAGTACAGTGAACTCGTCATTGTTCACGCATGTGCACTCCAGTCCCCTCTCCCTGACTGCCAGGTGACATCGATGTCATACAAACCGTTCTCACTATATTAATAATGGCTGGAGTTTTCCCGGACAGACCTTGTATAGTAGTAAATTCTAGATGCCAATATATAAAAAGTGTTCTTTGTCTTAAATTATCTTTCCCCTTAAACAAGTAGATGCTGTGAGTCTTACTGAACTAGGGAAAGGGCAGTTACTGGTGTCTTCTGCCTCAGCCTGATCCCACTGACTCTGGAAGGGACCTGAGTGCGGGGGAGGCGGGCCTGGCGAGGGGGTGAGGGGGGTGTGCTGTGGGGGGTGGGCGGAGCCAGTGAGAGAGCACCTAGGACAGCAGGGGTGCCGGGGTCTGCGGGTTCCTGTGGGGGGCGTGCAGGGTCTGGTCATTGCAGCGGCTCTGCTGACTCGAGACCATCATTCACAACAGCAGACCTGCCCTGCACCCCCTGTCCCCGCCCCCGTCAGCCACTGTTAACTGCTGTCGGTCAATAAATACGAACTCACAGTAAGTGGCTCCCCTGCTGGTAATATAATAGATTTGGGGCAGTTTCATGCAACATTGTATTACTTGCAAAATGTTAAGATACCTTTATTTACATTGAGTTGTGAATGCTTTAGGGGCGATGCAGGTGGAAGGGTCTGTGAATCCAGCGGGGTCGCAGGGTCCCCCATTCCCGTGGGCCCCATTCCCGTGGAAGTCCATGCAGACAGCACCTCCGGGGTGTGCGGGACTCTGCCCCGGGGGCCTCCTGGGCAGCCTTGCCCTTCCCCTGCCGCAGGGCCAGCTGCTGCCCCTTCCTGGCAGCTGGGCTAGACCCCGGCTTCCTGCTGAGGGGGTGGGGGGCGGGGGTGGGGGGTCAGGTCTGGAAAGGTGTTGTCAGCAGAGATCTGCACGTGCTGTTGACGGTGGCTCGATTTTGTTAACCGCTTTGCCCGCAGATCTGCGACGTGCTGTCCGCCGTGTGCAAGAAGGAGGGCCTGAGCCTGCCCCCGCCGCTGGCCCGCAGGCTGGCCGAGAAGTCCTGCCGGAACCTCAGGAAGGCCCTGCTCATGTGCGAGGCCTGCCGCGTGCAGCAGTGAGTGTGGCCGCGCCCCAGCGCAGGGCGCGCCCCGGGGGGCCGGGTAGGGGGGCACTTCCCTCTCGGCGACGGTGTCTTCTTTGCGCCACGCAGGTACCCCTTCACCGCAGACCAGGACATCCCTGAGACAGACTGGGAGGTGTACCTGCGGGAGACCGCCAACGCCATCGTGAGCCAGCAGACCCCGCAGAGGTAGCCGCGCGAGGGACCCAGGGCCTGGGGGCTGGGCCTCCCGGTGCTGCCGCTGCTTTGGGGGGGAGGGCTGTGCGAGCACGTGCGGTTTGGGGCCGGAATCGAATCTGCAGTGTGGGTGCTGGACTTGTGAGAGAAGGTGGGGTGCGGCTTCAGAAACTCGGTGGTTCAGGGTGGTTGGCGTGCGGCGGCGGCCTGGCTCTCGCTGGGCGGTGGGCGTGTCGGTGGGGAGCGTGCACGGGAAGTAGAACGCGTCCTGGGACGTCTGGTCCCCCCGCTTCCCTGCGGCCCTGGCGCTGCTGCTCTGCTGGCCCGGCGGCAGCCACATCTCCCGACCGTGGTCCTGCTCCGCCCGCACGCTGGGCAGTGGCATCGTCATGCACGTCCTCCTGTGTTCCCTTGTCTTGTTGATTGACCGGCGGTGACCCTTCAGTCTTAACGACACTCTTCTAGATGTAGCAGATAGCCCTGGACACAGGGTTGTCTGCCTTCAAAAGAGTTCTGGACATTTTGTTTTCCCAACATGAACTGAGAGTAGGGGAAGCATCTGTATGTGCATGCTAAGTGTGAGAAGCCATTGAAGAAAACGTCTGCACTGGATCGTTTGTTTAATTTACTGGGCTGGCCGAAGCGTCCATTTGCTTTTTCTGTGTGATGGCTCTAGTGACGCCTTAGTTGTCTCTAACTTCATTCGAAACAATTTTGTTAGGTTGCATTGTGACAGCTGTCATATCAGCGTGCGTTTATAAAAAAGCTTACCAAAATTGGTGAATTTTTGTGTAGTCATTTTAATATTGGAGATGAAAGAAAATAAGCAACACTTTCGGCATATTATGCTTTGTTATTTCAAGAAAGGTAAAAACGCAACTGGAACGCAATAAAAGATGGGTGGGGTGTGTGGAGAAGGCGCTGTGACTGATCGGATGTGTCAAAAGGAATTTGCGAAGACTCGTGCTGGAGATTTTTCATTGGACAATACCCCACGGTTGGGCAGACCAGTAGAAGTTGATAGCAATCAAATCAAGACATTAATTGAAAATAATTGATGTTCTACCATGTGGGAGATAGCCAACATACTGAAAATATCCTAATCAAGAAAGTTACTGGTGAAAATGAAAAATGTGCCTTATTTTACAGAAAAAAAACTAAACGGACTTTTTGGCCAACCTAATATAAAGTAAAACAGGTCAGTGGGTACTTGGAAAAATTGCCTGTTATTTTTATCAAAAAATATCACTCCTTATGTTTCATGTAGGCTCCTGGAAGTTCGAGGAAGACTGTATGAGCTTTTAACTCATTGCATCCCTCCCGAAATAATAATGAAGGTAACTGGACTTCTCACCTGGGACCTTTGTGTGCTTGAACCTTGGGCGGGCGGTCACGGGGCTTTGTCGTCCTCAGATGGCACGGTCCCCTCTCGCCCACTGCGCCTCTCCTGTGAGCCAGGCAACCTGAGGGGCCAGGGTCGCGCTGAAGAAGCCAGGAGGGGCGGTTCCTTCTGAGAAGGGGACTCACTTCACCCCCTCTCTGGTGGGGGGAGGGGCTCTACCGGGTAACTGCAGCTGGTTTGTCTTCCGCAGGCCCCCCTAGTGGTGGCGCTTGAGGTTGTCTGTGGGTGCTCGCTGCAGGCCACGATGCGGTAGGAAGCATCCTTGTGGTTACGTCTCTGCACCCCAATACATTTGAGTATTCGGAATTTGGGTTATGCTAGATAATCACCACACTTTACATTGTACAACGGGCACACACCCCTTCGCTTTTGGGTAAAGACTACCAGTCCGTGCAGGGGAACTAAGGATGTCACTAATAAAAGAAGATCTCTCTGTTTTGAAGGAGAGAAAGAAAAGCCTTTCTGGCCAGTGTTTTTCAAATGGTCACTGTTTGATGATTAGTTGTGTTCCCGCAGGGCCTGCTCTCGGAGCTCCTGCACAACTGTGACGGCCAGCTGAAAGGGGAGGTGGCCCAGATGGCGGCGTACTACGAGCACCGCCTGCAGCTGGGGAGCAAAGCCATCTACCACCTGGAAGCGTTCGTGGCCAAGTTCATGGCGCTTTACAAGAAGTTCATGGAGGACGGCCTGGAAGGCATGATGTTCTGACACTCGGCCGTGACCCCTCCTGCCGTGTCTCCGTGTCCGCCGTTGCAGCCCGTGCTCACTCGCGGAGCCGCGGAGGAAATAAACTCGACTCGACCTCATGGTGTCCCGTCTGTGTCTTCCGTAGCGATTCCTCTGCGGACGGTTCGCCCGAGTTCCTCCCACACTTGGTGTTCAGTCTGCGGCAGGGACGCGACTGGGTCCTCGGGCCTGGGGGCTGCTGGGGGGCGTCTTCACGGGGCAGCTCTGAGCAGTGTCTGATCTGGGGCAACCACAGCCCCGAGGTGCACTGAAAGGTTTTACGTCTAAAAGAAGTGGAACTGCCTGTATGAGGATGTGGGGGCGCTCTTGTAGCAGTTCGTGACAACCAACCGGGAGTTGTTTGATTGACAGACACTGCTACTCACAGAAAACTGTAACAGGTTTTGCCCTGGCTGGTGTAGCTCTGGATTGAGCGTGGGCTGCGAACCAAAAGGTTGTCGGTTCGATTCCCAGTCAGGGCACATGCCTTGATTGCAGGCCAGGTCCCCAGCAGGGGGTGTGTAAGAGGCAACCACACATTGATGTTTCTATCCCTCTTTCTCCCTATCTTCCCCTCTCTAAAAATAAATAAAATATTTAAAAAATATGTAACAGGTTTAGCCTTAGGGGAACCTGTCTGGTCAGGAGAAATGATGGTTACTTTTGGGGGTGGGGGGCACTAGCCAGGCCCCAGTTAGCTATCTCAGCCCTGGGAGCACCCCCCCACATGAGGAGGGATATTGGCGTTTTCACAGAAGAACTGGGAAGGTGAGGTTTGGATGAGGCAGGATTTTTAATTTGGTGAGAAAAGTAAATAATGCTTGAATTATCTTTAAGAAATAGTGCTAGAATTATCTGTAAATGCTTAAAGTGCCCTTGGAAGTGTGAGTAGTCCCACATTTGTGTTTCTTTGGAGCAGCACTTGGGAGAGGGGACCCGGGACCAGCGCCGGCATCACTGGGGGGCGCAGGCCTCACACCAGCGCTGCGGAGTCAGAACCGGGGGGCAGAGCCTCGCTGTCTCGGGGTGGGACCACCCTGCCTTGGGGTGGGGGCGGCTAATGCACGTCCGAGTGAGCGAACCCTCGAACTGCTGCAGGAGAACGCAGGCTGGGAGCCAGTGGGCGGGGGGAAAGACCTTCCCGTCCCCCCAGAACAAGGTCTTCCTACCCGGCAGCCCTGCTCAGCGACGCGGCCGCTCGAGCGCCCCTTCTGGACGGAGGTGCGCAGTGGCGGGCGAGGCGCCAGGCGCTGCGCTGGTTCCTTATACACGTTATTCCACTATGGCCTTACTGACCTGCGTGCTGACTGTTACCTCTGTCCGGTGCGAGAAGCAGCTGATTCGAGTGGCTGCGACTTCTGACGTCCTGGAGCTCCCGCGCGGAGACAGACGGACTGCGGAGGGACCCTGCTACCGCGTGGAATAAGAAATTGGGGGGTGGGGGGTGGTTTTGTTGAGTAACTGAACTTCGCCCTTAGAACTTCAACACTCCACTTCAGTTCCCCTGGGTTTCAATGTCTGTAACTTCAGCCTTTACGGGAACTTGATCTTCGGATTTTAAATCTTTTGGATTTTGGAAAACTCCGCTCCTGAAGCATCTCTTTTATCATGGAAGTATCCTTACGACAGCAATCGCAACAGAACCCCTGGTGCGCGCCGTGGCACAGCCTGCCTGGGCCTAGTTTCGGGCGAGAGACAGCAGATAGTTGTCTGCCTTGGGCGCGGCGCAGAGCCACGGTCCACAGACCGAGTGCATTGTTCCGACCCACTGCCCGTTCTTCTGGGGACCGTGTGTGGGCCCCCCGCCACTGGACCCCGGGGGAGACCCAAGAGCATGGACCGGCGATGGGAGCCTCCTGGTGGAGGTGGAGCCGAGTCCTGGGGCGGCAGCCACGCTCTTGCTGGCCCTGGACTTGCTGGCGAAGCCCAGTGAGGACAGAGCCCGAGGGCCAGGGGTGGGTGTGGGTGTGGGGTTCACCTCCTCCGCTCCCGCTGCGGTGCTCTCTGAAGGGGTTCAGCTCCCTAGGACTCCGGGGACCCCGGCCCCACTGGTCCCTCCGCCCCTGCGGAGAGACCGGGCCTCAGTGTCCTGAGGAGGGGCTGCTGGGCTTGCTCAGCGGGCACCCCTCCTCCCGCGGGCACTGCGTTCTCCACTGCAGTCACTCTGCCCTGGGGCCTGCTCTGGAGCCGTGGGGCCCCGCCCCGCAGGTCCGAGTTAGGGGTCCCGGCCCGGCCGGGAAGAAGCTCGGTCTTCCACCCCGACCTAGGTCGGATGCAGAAGGGATGCTTGACCTCCACCTTCTCTGCAGTTTTGACTCCTGGTGTAAACGCTGCCTCTCTGTGTTCAAACCCCGCTTGGCTCCTTTGTCAGAGGCTTTCCTTTTCTTTCTTTCTTTCTTTTTTTATGAGCCTTTAATTTTCTCATCTGAAATGCAAATCCATCCAACGAATAGTTCCTCAGAACCAGCGTCCCCGGAGCACAGAACCGCATCACACTGGACGGCGGCTGCGTATCCACGAGCTTCTGTGCAACACGAGGAAAACACACGCACCATGACGCGAGTGGCACAGGAGAGGAGGCGGGTCCGCCCGGCGGCTTCGAGGCCGGCGGCCATCAGGGAGCGTAATGCCAGCAGTGGCTGGGGAGCAGAGCTATGGACAAGTCGTATTTCTACACTTGCTGATGGGCTTTCCCCTAAGAAACATGAATTATGTTCACAAATAAAACTATATGACACACATATGTGTGTTATATGTATACACCTATGTATTTACAGTTTTAAGTAAATAACGGTTTCCTGACGACAGGCCCGGAAAGTAGTGTCCCTCATGAAACCATGGCTGGGTACGGCCTGTGTGTCTGGGGGTGCCACGTGTGGTTTTAGGAGAGGGAGGGGAGCGGGGGAGAAACCCGCAGCAGCCAAGCCCCCTCAGGGGAGTCCCTGCCGAGCAGGTGGGGGGGTGGAGTCCAGTGCTTGCTGGGGGGCCGGTAGGTGGCTCCCCGCCCCTGCACCAACCCGTGTTAAGACAGCTGCATTATCGAGCTCCAAATATTTGCACGGTGTTGTATTTTTTCCTAATTGCCCCTTCTGCTAACTTGACATTCACTGTTGTTGCAAACAGTCATCCTGGGACTTGGTCCCCAGACCCCTTGCTTGTCCTTCTGGTTGCTGGTCTCGAGTCGTGTGGGCTGCGTATCCTCCGCTTCTCACAGTGGCGCCCCCCGAGGTCCAGGCAGCGCGGAGCGCGGAGAGGCGTTCGGCTCTTCGCCTCGAGGCTCCATCGGGAGAGCAGCCAGACAAATGCGAGGCCGCCTGGTTCGTCTGTGGCCTGATTCGCCTGCCACGGTTTTCCTCCAATCAGGGGGCGGTTGCTCCGGCAACAGCCCTGCTGTCTCCCTCCGAAGAACCTCCCGCTGGTTAGCCCTGTTTCATTTCCACAAAACGAACGAGCCCTGCGCTGACTCCTTGAAGCGGCTCAATCCCTCTTCCGCTCTCGTTAGCTGCGGGGCGCGCCCGCTGCCGGCCGAGATCCTAGCGCGGTTAAGAACGCATCACCGCCGCGCGGACGACACACACCGGCTAGCGGCCCCCTGCTCGCTGCAGGGTTCGTTAGCGCCGAGAGGACACACTTGCGCGCAGTGGTCTCTCCTGCGAGCCCGTTCATTGTTGCAGATTGCAGGGAGGTTTTGCAAAGGGAAGAAGCACTGGGGAATGTTCTCGTTTGGAGTCGCAGGAGGGGGCGCCGCAGTTGGAGGCGGTGGGGGCGGCTCTGCCGCCATGGCCCCCGCGGTGTCGCGCAGAAGCCCTGCGCCGGGTGCATGCAGTCGGTCGGTGGTCTCTGCAGTCGCACGCGCTAACCCTGCAAATGTGCGAGGAGGCTTTGACGAGCGACAGGCTTGTCACTTCAGGGGTAGAAAGCCGCCTGCACACACGGGCTTCTCGCTGCCGTGTTAGGTGACAACGGGAAAAGGCGCCCCACTGAAGGCGCGGTCACACAGCGCACATTTATTCAGTTCCCCGAGTCTCGTCCTCGTGTCCTCGGACGAGGAGTTCGTCTTTGAGTCCCTCGGCGACGCCCCTCCGCGGCGCTCAGCTGGGCCGCCCGCGGGCTCGGCGCAGCGCCCCCACCCAGCGGTCCGGCGTTTCCGTTTCCGTTACTGAGGAGGAGTTAGGTCTGGTCGTTAAATCCGGTCTCAGCCGAGTCTCCTTAGGCGGTTGTCCAGGACCCGTGCAAAACGGAATCCCCGAGAGACAGAGGATTAACCTGCTGTGAAGTGCAAGTGCAGGGAAATAGGTTTAGCAGCTATTTTTGGGAGAGGAGCTTAGAGACTTCCCCCCACTGGCCTCGGGGTCAAGGTCTTCCCACGATTTCCATTTGCGGTTCCCAACCTTTACACTCAGGTGTGCGCCTGTATTTGCTGCTGGTCTTCTACCTCAGGGGGCTGCGTTGGACATCGTTTTTTGTAAATCTGTACGTCTTCCGCTGGCTCGTACACACACATTAAAATACTTAACAAATGAGACAATGGAAGGTTACAAAATACACGTACAAATATATATGTGCATATATAATACCCATACTTGGGTGTGTGTATTATGTATGTACGCACCCAGATGCGGTGGGGGTGCGGGACGCCCGGACGCCCAGACTAAGCGAGGGCTCAGAGCAGCATGGGCACTACTGTGGTGCCGGCCAGGACGATGGACTGGACGTGGGGCGCCCTCACTACCCAGTGCCACTGAGGACCCACACAGACAACTCGCTTTCCGTCCTGTGACCCTGGGTGCTGCTGGTTTGGTGATGTTGGCACCCCAGGGAGAGGGGCGCCTTCCAGAAGGTCTACATAGATGGACTGCAGCTGAACTGGAAGCCGGGGTTGACCATCTTAAACCGCTGCTGCTTCTGGGAGAACTCAGGAACAGGAGGGCCGTGGCGGGAAACTGGAAGGGTGGATTCTGGCCATTGAGAAGAAATGTAGTTTCATTTACTTAAGAGAGACAGAGGTGAGTGTAGTTCATTTCTGGAACATTCGATTTTTAGGCCACTGGGCAGTCAAAGTTGATGGAAAACTACAGCA